AAAAAAAAAAAAAAAAAATTCAGATTGCTATGAGGGTGCAAATGTTCAGGTTACATTGTTTTCATTTCTAAGGTAAAGTTTAAATTGTAGTTAAGCCCTTCACCCACAGGGCACATACCAATACTTTAATTATAGGATAAACCCCATGGTTCCATATAATAATTAAATGCCAATATTGATTTTTTTTAATCCTAACGATGAAATGTATACCTACAAGTAAACTGTGTGACTTATCACAACATATGCCACCACCAAAGCAGATAAGAGGAAGCTTGGAGGTATTCTTCCCAAAGGCTGAACACAGCAAATTCTACCACTTGACCCTAGCCTGTGTACTCATTTCCTTTCCTGTAATTCTCACGGAGCGCATCCAATATCAATCATGACAAAAGAATCAAGTCCAGAACCAAAGAATAGCTAGTTTCAGGGATCTTCAATCAGGTATAAATTCCACCCATAGGAAAAACAAAAATACTTATTAGTGAGTCTGTTACATGTAGCTGAAATGTTTCTCTATTGAGTTCACTGAAGAAAAATATATTGCCATTTGGCTCAAATATGAAATGTATGTTCATTAACGCCTCCAGTTCTACACGATATAAATTGCAATATAAATTTGAGTCATCAGTCCAGAAAGTTTGTACACATCAGGACTCTATCTGTATGGCTGCTGGAATATTTCCTTTGAACAAGTACCTCCCCATGTGCTACAAAGAGGCAGGTGCATTTGAAGGACAGATGTATCTTTATCAAAAGTGAGGAGACTGAGGGCCAGCACAGTGGCTCTCGCCTGTAATCCCAGCACTCTGGGAGGCCAAGGTAGATAGATCACCAGAGCTCATGAGTTCGAGACCAGCCTAAGCTAAAGCAAGACCCCACCTCTAAAAATAGCCGGGTGTTCTGTAGTCCCGGCTAGTCAGGAGGCTCAGGCAAGAGAATTGCTTGAGCCCAGAAGCCTGAAGTTGCTGTGAGCTATGATGTCACTGCACTCTATTGGGAGCAACAAAGTGAGACTCTGCCTCAAAAAAAAAAAAAAAAGCGAGGAGACTTAACACTATTAAGTAAGTTCCTCTAGACACAGAGTAACAAAATAGAACCTGAGTTATAAAAAACAATTCATGGTCGGTGTTCCATTTAACCTCAAGGAAGTATATGCTCTATAGAAATTTCCTCAATTATAAAAATCCCAGTGCCAGATGCCTTTAAAAGGAAGAGATGTTTGGGCGTAATTGTGCTCTGAGAAGCGCCATCACCTGGCAGACGTCGGAACGGATGCCGGTTTTCCAGAATCCTTGGCTACTCAGCTCCACTGTTACTTCTCGCCTCATTGTGTTCTTCTGTCGTATTTTTTGGAGTGCTTCCTAGAACAGAATTAATTACGATGAGTAACCCAACAGTCATACAGCAGTATCAAGCATTAGAAAATACGCTAGATTCATTTAAATTACCCTTACATTCAGGTATGCAAATCTCTTCATGCAAAATTACAATATTTTGGAATTGGAATGGAGGCCAGGATGCTCATAGCCTTGGGTATAAGGCAGCCTTTTCCAGTAGCTAGATTAGAAAAAATCTAAACCAAACCTATCATTCTCACATATCTGAACAAAATATGCCCTTTCACTGATAAAAATAATGCAATGTTTGGCATTTGAAATTGGCATATAAAAATTATATCAAGCCTATATTAAGCATTTACATCTAAGGCAATCAGTAAATTAACCTTCAGCCCATGTCATTCTAAAAGTTGCCTTCTAATTTGCTAACCTCTTACAAAAACTCTCACTACAAGGATACATCTTATTTTTAAAAAATCATGATCTAAAACTTCACCTGTAAGATATAATCAGGAATTAACTCTTCCCTTTCACTGCTCTTCAAATAATTAATTACAGAAAACAATTTTAAACCTATCTGTATGCAATTCAGTAAGAACCTCCTAGGAATTCATATTTACAACAGGGACCATCATGACCTTCACCATCACCTCTACCATTGACAAAGCTCCTACTATAAGCCAACTATCATGGGTGGAATGTTACACGAGTTATTTCAGAAGTCCACACAAGCAGCTTTTTCCTTGGGTGCTCCAACACAGACATTTCAGTCAGCATCTCAGCCTTAGTTTCCTCCTTTCTAAAACAGTTGACTGGTGCAAGTCACAGTAAGTGACAAGGCCAAAATTCAAATACTCTTCCTAGCTTCACAGACTTGTTTTTCCACTACAAAATAAAACTTCATGGACACAAAATCTATGTTGATACTGAACCCATTTGTTCTTAAAGCTAAAACATAAGCCAGGTGCACCGCCTCAAGCCTGTTAACCTAGCACTTTGGGAGGCTGAGGCAGGAGGATTGCTTAAAGCCAGGAGTTCCAAGACCAGCCTGAACAACATAGAGAGATTCTACCTCTACAAAAAATATAGAAATTAGCTGGGCATGGTGGTATGTGCCTGTAGTTCCAGCTACTGAGACAGGAGGAGTGCTTGAGCCCAAGTATTTGAGGTTGCAGTGAACTGTGACGCCACTATGTCCCAGGAAAATAGAATGAGTGAGACTTTGTCTAAAAAAAAAAAAAAAAATTTTTTTTTTAAACTAAAACATAAGTGATTCTGGAATACAAGTATAATTCTACCTTTAAGTAAAGAAATACAGAATTTGGGATATAGAACTGCATAATTCAAGTCCAACTGGCAGACCTTTTATAACCTTAAAGACCAAGAAATCTGAGTAAGATCCAGTGTTGAATAATGTGTAGTCTAATTAAAAATAAAAGGCTGATTCAGCAAATTTTAAGTTTTCTTTAATTTCTATGAAAGGTATATCCAATTCCAAAGGTAGCAATCTATTATGAAACTGGCCTTTTCAGGGATAAAAATGCCCCTTGATATACTAAAAGATAAAAAAAATCATATCAGTATAATAACGTGAGGGAGGGAGTAAAGTCTGATTTTTAAAAGATGCTTTCATCTTGTTCCAGAAGTATAATGTGATGAAACAGTCTTGAAATAAACCTGAAATACATCATCACTAATGACGAAGAACAGGGTTCCGCACTGACCTCCCTCTGGGCCAGCTTCTGTTTATCAGTTTGTTTGACCTTGGGACTGTTTGCTAGGAGATGCCGTAGTTTCACGTAACTCTTCCACAGTTTCTGATACCTAAAGAAAAGGACAGGGAAACATCTTAGACACACAGAAGGTGAATCTAAACTGGAATAATGCCAGTTATTTGGACAGGCCTGCTCAACCATACATTACATTCTTTTGAATATCTTTAATGGCAGCAAACCGTCAGTCTAAGGAAGAATATCATTTGGGGGTCAAAGGGCAGGATGCCCAAGAGTCAACTGGAACCTGGTGATTAAGTTGATCATTATTTATTGAGATTGAAAATGAGGTGAGACTATGAATGAACCTCTGGAAAGAATTTCAAAGACACAAAAATACTTTAACCAATGAAAACGTGTCCTGTTTCTCATTGTTACCTTTTTGAAAGCGACAAATTTTATTTAAATGTGTACGTTCTGATGTTTGTTAAAGACGACTTCCTTAATAGGGAGACTGTCGGTCTCTGAACTGCCTATACCGAAAGTAAAAGTTGAAGAGCATTGGAATAGAGAGCCCCATTTGTGTCAATACCCACACCACAACGCTGTTTTCATTTTTCCACTGGAGAGGGGAAAAGACAAACCACAACAAAAATGAGCATATTTGTTGTAGTCAAATATATGATAGACTCAATCCGTCTACATGGTTAAGGCACCCTGGAAACCAAGAGCAGACGCAGCCTGTCATCCGTCCGCAGCCCTGAGAGGCCCACAGAGCCTCATCACATTCTACTAACATTCTTCTCACAAGAAGGGATTTCCAGAAGATTTTCTGTCACATTAAACTGCTCCTTTCTTGGCCTTAACTTGGCCTTTCCTTTCTTGATAACATTTGTTTTTAGAGAACTGAGAAAAGAAAGAAGTACTTACACAGTGCCTGGTTCACTGCTTCATACTTTTATACAAAGGGGGGGGAAAAAGAACAAAACCCTTTAGCCTCTTCTAATATACGTCAGCCAGAACTGTATTTATGAACTGAAAATCTCCCGTTCCCTTTTCTCCCATTACGACTCCTTTCTCAAAAAAAAATTAACTCAGGAAACTGTTTGCCAATATAAGAAATCCAAACAGCCCTGAAGAATGTAACAGTACTATCTCCATTCCCACACATCGTTATCTTCTCCCAAAAAACACTAACGTGCCAGTGGAAAAACCCAAACGTGGAAAGTACGTCAATGCTAAGAGTAAGAAGTCACGTCTCCTACTTTGAACACAACCCTTGACTTTGCATGGGATCTTGAGTTCTTATTAAGATGCCCCCCAAAATAGAACTCTGCATAAATTCGGCAGTGCTAGGAACCAATATGGTGCTACTTTCCTCTAGAGGGCACTGAAAAAATAAAAAATAACAACAACAATAATTATTATCATGACAAATAGATAAATAGTTCCCTATAGTTTAAAAATATATAGGATTTGTGTTGACCAAGATTTCCAAGAATATTTGATTGTATAATAATTTCTTGCATTCAAATACGTAGAGAAAATAATTCTTCAGGAGTTAGTGAAAACGTTTCATTTGGTAACCTAAATTTGGAAGCACGGCTTATTTCTGTTCATAATTTTTAAATAAGAAAATATCCACTGGAGGATATTCCTCTGCTAATTCAGCTGTTAGTAGAAGGTGAAATTGGCTAAGACAAACACCGAGAAATATCTTACTGTGGGTCTCCTGCATAACTCAACTGTGCAGGGCGTATCCCAAAGTGGACGATAATCGGAAAAGTAATCACATCGGGGTTGAACTGTTCACGATCCAGTTGATCAATACGGACAGAACTCGGTTTCTAGAGAAAAAAAAAAATCAAAGCCATTTATTCCCATAAGAAGTCTTTAAGTATTGACTTGAACCTAAGTAGGGAAAAAATTAATCGGATTTTTTTTTCTAGGAAAGACTCATCCCCAAAGGGAAAAGGTCATTTAAAACCCTTTAATCATAGCAGCTATTCTATCTAAAAACTATAATGTCATCCCTGTAAATGAGTCTATGCCATTTGGCATAATGAACAATGGTTTTGTCCTTTTTTTGCAGTCGGCATGGAAACCTTTAAAAATTAAACTTTTAAAAGGACACCCAGTCAGATATAACTTTTCCTTAACCTCTCAATGGCACAGGGAAAGGAGTCCACAGCACAGGAAAAAGCTGTGCTATCTTGTTCTGCTGTGATTTCACATTACAAAGGCACAGCTGACTTCTGTTCAGGATGCACAGACAGACGCCTCCATTTAAGTGTCTTTTCCCGGTTACTTCTCAGCACACTCTGTGTATTCCTTTAATTCCACACCTTTAAATTAGAGGGTATGGCAGAAAAAGGCCAATCAGTTTCTCTTATTATGCTCATGTAGGACATTTCTGTATTTTAACAGAGAGCCTCATACTTCTTTTTTTCTTTTTCTTTTTCTTTGAGACAGAGTCTCACTTTGTTGCCCTTGGTAGAGTGCCATGGCGTCATAGCTCACAGCAACCTCAAACTCTTGGGCTCAAGCAATCCGCTTGCCTCAGCCTCCCGAGTAGCTAGGACTACAGGCGCCCACCACAACGCCCGGCTAGTTTTTAGAGACAGGGTCTCACTCTTGCTCAGGCTGGTCTCAAACTCCTGAGCTCAGGCGATCCACCCACCTTGGCCTCCCAGAGTGCTGGGATTACAGGCGTAAGCCACCGTGCCCGGCCCCATACTTCTTTTTTTCTTCTTCATTTCTAATAAAGAAAGAAGTAAATGGCTCGTTCCTTCTGGATCATTAGTGAAATGCCTTATTGAGAGCTTAAATTTGTGAAATAAGGTAAAATTGTGGAGAGTATGTTTTAGCTGCCTCTTTGCTTATAATCAACTCTCAGGGAAATCCCTACTTAGCACATTGTGGGGTTTTGGACTCAGTGGCTTTGAGGCTAAGGCTATAGAACAGTCAATAAGGTCTATTCTGTTCCACAACAATGCCCAACAACTAAAATCTGGTTGGCAGCCGGCTTTGTCCAGGACAGAGCAGTTTCGATGCTAAAACCAGGGAAGTCCCCTGCTACTGGGACAAGCTACTCACCCTAACTACACCTGTAGTTGGAGGTGACAACTAGGTGACAAAGAAGACCAATTTATGTGAACTTATCCATATTACTTAGAAAACAACTCAAAAGTTTATGAAGAATATTTAAATGTCATTTAATAATAGAAATTTCACTAGTATCCTAAAAAGTTGGCCCCTGCTCCCCAAATCAGAAAATGCAAAAATGCAACCTAATAAAAAATTATTTAAATGCCTATCAACAGTAGCAACACATTATTGAGGTCTAAGAATTGCTTTCATTATTTTATGCATCAAAGCAGCAGGCCCCACTTTTAAAGCCTGAATTGGGCAATAGATGAATGCTATTTAATTATTCATGTTTCCAGGATTTTAAGGCTATAGTATCAACACAGGAAATAGTGACTTAAAATATCTATAGTATCTTTAAATTTATGAGGATGATGGGGGATGTAATAAATTCTAGACTTTGGCCACATCCTACAACACTTACCATACTGTCTTTGGGTAAGAATAAAAAATATTCTCACTGATGACCAAAGTATTCCCTGGTAGAGGCAAAGAGCTTAGGGGAAAAGATTAATTCCTTTAAGTTCTGCAGAGTAAAGTATTTAATATTACTATAATAGCTTGAAAAATTTAATAAATGTCCCAATATCCTTGCCATTAGGCAATCTTTCAAAGCAAGTACTGCTGATGATGAAACAGTGCCAAGCCAACTTAGTCCCAGAGAAACTTGCACACTTTCCAGAAGGAGGTAATAAAAGGACTTTTGCATAGTACTGAGTTTTCAGGATTATTTCCTTCTTTAAAAATTTAGATAAATACTAAAAAAGAATTACCTTCCACATGTTCTTAAGCCTGACACCCGAACTTACCTTTCCTAATTTATTTCTGATTGTTTTCTAATATTATCCTGCAACCTGACTAGTCTGATTTCCTAAGTATCTTCGAAACAGGCCTTGTACCATCTCAAGTACATAAATCTAATCCTACCAATAATTGAATCTCTCAATTCCTCAGAGACCTTCCTGCATGGTCTAGGAAGCACCCCAGGCAAGCCTGGCCCAGTGATCTCTCTTAAAATTACAGGCTTCACCGACTGGTCCATTGGCAGTGGACACTTCATCAAAGACCCTTTCATATGCACATACCCAGGGTTTTCACCTGGGCAAGCATCATGGACAATAAATAAGCTTCCCTAGCACCTGGCTCACATTTGTTAAGTAGTGTCTTAACAAATGGATTGAATAGTGGCCATGGTGATAGTAAATGTTACCTGCACCACTAGTTAGTTCTCAAATAAGCAATGGGTGAATCAGAAGTCACTCGGGATTTTTTTTTTAACTATAGATTTCTGGGCCCCACTGCCTGGAGCATATGGGGTTGAGTGAGTCAGGGCATCCTACAGTATTTTTCAAATTTTTAATTTTTTTAAAGCTCTTCAAGAGATTCTCAGATTTCAAGCAAACTTAGCTATGCCATGGAAGGAAACGTGGGATGAACACGCTCCCTAAATGTCTACTGTAGAGCGTGGGACTCTTCAAACACAGGAACCACAGTGAACATGTATCCTGCTATCACCCCATCCTCCGACCCAGCTCTAAACCTGACGGGAGAAATATAAATATATGCAACTGTTCAAAGAAGAAAATTAGAACTCACGATCTTACGCTCACAGGGCTACTAATTATAGGTTTCTTTTAATGTTACCTTAACAATTGTTTATGTGGCTTAACAGTAAAAAATTGTATGATTTTCTGGTTTTAAAAAAGTTTAATGTTTAAACATATTTCTCTTAAGCAATTTCACCTTCTGGATTTGTTAATATTAGTCCATACTAGCTGGAAGGTTTCACTTGCAAATAGCAACATGTTGCGTGTGCAGGTATTCCTGTCACAATGGATCCAGAGTTGTTATTCTACAAATCAAGGCTATTCAACAATTGGCAGCTCTTTAAAACACAACAGCTTTTCCTAAATAGATTATTCTGCTTCTTTATATGGAAATATTTTAATTCCCCATTTCTGAACATTTTTATTCTAAGATGCTAATACAGAACTATTTTATGAAACAAAATATTTTAGAGAAAAAAATTATCTGATATAAAGAAAAACGCTATGTTTTATGTCAGAGAACTAGTTATCTTTTAATTCTCTACTTTTAATTTATTTTTACGTTAACAGTTAATGTTAAAAGCTTAGTTTTTGAAACAAAAATTTAAAAAGCAAACAAAAGAAATGGTAATATACGTAATAATGAGAAAGGATGATTAAAAAAGGGCCAAGAACAACAACAACAACAACAAAAAATCAGCTAACAGGAAATTATCAAAAGAAAACATGAAGGACCAGTAAACATTTAAAATATCACTTTTCATCAGAAACCAAAATAAATACAAACTAACAATTGTTTTTTTGTCCCTATCAAAAAGCAAAGTTTTTTCCTTTAAACTAGTACAAGCAAGGAAATGGGTACTCTCATATACGCCCCGTCCGAGTGCACATTTTATAGTACATGTTACGACTGCAACATGCCTTGAAAAGCCTTAGAAATGTGCAGTTATTCAGACAGAGTAAATTTGCCTCTATTTTTCTTGTTCCCTGCGGATAGAGGCCTGGGAGAGGGGCCCAGCCACTGACTGTGCAGCCAACATACCGTGCCAGGGTTGGTGACGATCATGCCTTTGCACTCCTCCGCGTACTTCTGCCACTCGAGCTCCTCCCACTGCAGCATGTTGGCGATCTCCTCCTCGGGCACCAGCGCCTTGCTGCAGCGCAGCAGGTAGAGGAGGATCTGGTGCATGGACAGCACTTCCTTTCCTCCATCTCCCGTGGGGCGGGGAGGGGGAAAAAGGCAACTTACTCGATTAGTAGCAAAACATCAGTCGAAGAGGAGAAATTAGACAACGGTGGGAGAGAGCATGTGTGGAAAGGTAATTTAAAACTTACAGCTTAAACTCTAGGCCAAATAACATGAAAGCCATTCATTTCCTTGATGAACAGTGCTCATAAACCATCTCATTTACTAAACTGGCAACAACAACATTCTAGATGATAAAAAGCTCCATTTGTGAGGTATGAATATAAAAAAGGTGCTTACCTAAATAAATTTAAAACCACCTAGCATAAAGAACCACAGTTTATCATATACAGAACCATGTTATGTCTTAAATATTTTTTCATTCTTTCTAGGGTAACAGATGAAGGCTCTTTAGAAGTGATGTTACTGTCTTAGGGAAATTCTCAGCCTTTACGAGATATTTATGGATGTTTTCAATAAGCTATTGTTGCGTTATGGTCTAATGTCTGGGTGCTAATGTGCTGCACCTGCCATGATGAATAGAGCTGAAGAGCTGTACTAACATCAGAGACGATCATTAAGGTGTTAACACATGGAAAAAAATACCAAGCACGTGAGGCTTACAGAAGTAAATATCACCAAGTATAGGGGATAAAAAGAACAAAAAAGGGTATCATTAAAGTACCTTGGAAAAGCTAACTGATCTGATACTTTGTGAATCAAAGATATCCACTTAAGGTGGGCACTAAGGTGGCACCCGCAGGCTTCTGCCTTCTCTGTGGGCTTAGCTTTTTGACCAACATGAGCAACCACCTTGTACCACTTTTCTGTGCCTACTCCCACCCAGAGGAAGAAAAACAGCCCTAAAGGTGGAGAAGACAATTACTTCCCAGGTTATGAGATATGCTAGGCATAGCCGCGGAGGACTGTGGAAAAATAAGGGAACCAAAAGCACAAGATGGAAGTGATGGGACAGCAAGAAAGAGTGCCCCATTTGAGTGAGAGACATTAGTGGCACTCAGGAATTTGGGTACTAGAAGACAGAAAAGGACACAGTATTTTAACAGGAGCTGCTAGGGGCTAAGAACGTGGACATGCCTGCACATCTGAGAGAGAAGAGAGCAAAAGATCAACTTTTTTTTTGAGCTGTGTTTAGCAGACGATGAGCTGGAACTGGACCACGAAGCTACTACACAGACACTATAGATGCTGGCGTGTATTCATTCGTTCACCAAATAACCATTTATTCACCAAATATTTACTGAGCACTTATTATGCAACAGACACTTTTCAAGGCCCTGGAAACACAGCAGTGACCCTCATAGCCCAAGCCTTGCCTTCCTAGAGCTCATATTCCAGTAGAGAGAATGAGATAATTTAAAAGTTATATAATATATCAGGTCAGGATAAGTGCTATGAAAAATATAACCAGACAATATTTTAAAAGATGATCAGGACAAGCCTCTCTGAAGGGTTGCCGTGTGAGCAAACCTTCAAAGGAGCAAGGGAGCCTGCACCAAGCACCCATGTGGACGCTGAGTGTCTCAGGTAAGAAAACAGTGAAAGCCCCAAGGTGGAGTAGGACTGGGGTGAAGTGAGGAGAATGGGAGAGAGGCAGCAGAGAAGTCAGAGCTCACCAAGCTTCACACAGGCAGGAAGAGCTAAGGAATTTATTCTGAAAATGGGAGCTTGTTTTCCAACGTATGTGCTGGGCACTGTGACTGGTCCCATGTCACAATCATTGGAGGGGGACAAAATACAAGCTCTATGCCCTCAAGGAGTACACAGGTTCATAATGCTTACTCACAGTGATTCCTAGAGGACTCCTTGCAGACATTTTGAAAATAAAGTTCTGTTAAACAAAGACACTAAGCCTTTAAACAAAGAAACTGTCTAAGAAATGACAAAGTTACAAAATGTATCAACCCACATAAAGACATTCTGTATTTACTGACTCACATTAGTGCTCACAGAAGTGAGGTTTTTTTATGTGTCATTATAAAGCATCTGCCTTAAACCCAAATCACCTTTAGTTAGCTAACTTCCATAGTGTTATGGAGTCAATGCTTGTATCCCCTCAAAATTCGTATATTGAAATCTTAGGCGATATGGCCCTACAGAAGCCCTGTTAAGAAGGTGACCCACCATGTTCTGATCTGAAAATGGAGCCTGCCATGATGAATAGAGCTGAAGAGCTGTCCTCATATCATAGACGATCACTAAGGCGTTAACACATGGGAAAAATGTGGTGAATAGGATTTCCGTTAATACATGGAGAAGATCCCCATGAATAGGATTGGCGCCCTGGTAAGAAGAGACAGGAGGCAGCTTGCTTCCTTCCTCTGCTTTCTACCTTGTGAGGAAACAACCCAGACAGCTGTCTAGAACCAAGAAAAGAGCCTTCACCAGCAACCCGACCTTCCTGGAACGCTTTATCTCAGACGACCAGCCTCTACAACTGAGAGAAATACTGATTCTTTCTGAAGCCACCAGCCTACACTGTGTTTGTACTGTACTCCAAACTAAGACATGCGGTTAGGGGTGTGTTACTCAGAGTCAGTCTCAAACACACTTCAGTCCATCTGCATGTGATGTGTGGTCCTCAGTCTGAGGTTTCCCTCTTTGCTAAGGAACCCAGATAACCCATAATGCTGTGGTCTCAGTCTGAGTCCAAGTGGCCTGATCTAAGCAGGTACACAAGAAAATGTCTGAAGCCAGGATATGTAGACTGTATATAACACGAACATACACACAGAACAGCAGGAACAAAGGAAACCGAGAGTTCTTTTCTTGAAAAGAACTGTCACACTACCTGGATTCACTAGAAACTAAGGAATGTATGAACTAGCATTTGGCTTATAGTCTCTGTATTTGAGGACACTCCTCAAGAGTACCTGGGCCTATAAGACAGATTAGGAGTCTAAAATACCATGGGAGAAAAATGTTATTATGCTGTAAGGATAAGAAAGAAGATTCACATTTTACAAGGGAGAGGGGAAACGGTGGAAAGAGCCAGATCCAGGTATACAAAATAGTGCCAGAATCTCCCCACAGGCAGTTATGGCTGGCTGACTCCACGGTACTTCAGATAAAAATGAAATAAACTAGGGCCGTTGGATTTAACATGCAAAGACTGAATGAATGGGCTTCTAGGAGAGAGGAATACTTAAGTCTACAAACCAGGGATCTCGTAAAGCTCAGACTCTGTGGTAAATGAAGGGTACAGGCACTACCCAACTGAGGAGAATACCTACAAGGAAAAGAACCGAGGCGCCAGGTGCTGGTAAGACTGCCAAATACCTACTTTCTAGTTTAGGGGCAAAAATGGATGAGGGAGGAGTGAGTTTTATAGCAGCATAGAAACTAGACATTTAAAAAAAAAATACGCATCAGTTGCAAAGTGGGTGATGCTGAATGGAGAAACCACGAGTCCAAAATGAAATCTGCTAAACACGTCACAAGGCAACTGAACCTGAACCTTGACAAGACTGTGATTCTCCACTGCAGAGAAGCAGCTCAGGATGGACAACCTGACGTGAGGGACCTACCAGGGAAGGGGACGTGAGCCTCTGCTCCCTGTCTGGTGTTGGAGTTTAACCCTCACAGCAATGTAAGGAAGGCACACAAACTGGCATAAAAACTGGCATCCCGCCCTCAGGGGAGGACGGTAGCCCTCACTCCCGGCCTGGCAGAAAAAACACTCCGTAAACATCTGTGGAATGACTTTCGGAGGCAGACAAATCCTGGGCCACTCGCCCTCAGATGGCCATGAATTTGCTCATGTTAATGAATTGGCTCTTTCGGTTTGTCTGCTTTGCCACATGTTTATGTTGGGGATTTATGGAACGATGTCACTGAGGGCTAGGAAGTAATTTTTATCTTCTTGGCTGGAATAAATAGAACATGACATAAATGAGAAATGAGAGCGGGTAAGCTAAGGTTAGCAGGAATTCTGCCAACTCTGGGACTGGAACTGTGACAACGGCTCATTATTCGGGAAGAACTGGAGTTTGTGTTTCAGGGAATGAATCTGGACAGTCATTAATGAACTGACAGACCTTATAAACTGTTTCTTAGAGACCCAATTCCTCCTCAGTTTATATTGCCTGATTATTTATCTAGTTATTTGGGATAAGGGGGCAATTTGTTAAAGAATTTGTGTTAAGTATATGGTTGCTTAAACGAGTTTTTCTCAACTGTGGAACACTCAATTTTAACAAATGTAAAAACAGCTTCCTCTTCCTCCACACTGAGAATAACTGTCTGACTGCATTCCCGGGTCTTCTGTATATCCCTACTAAGACGCCTTTATGTAATCTTGTTTACTAAAAATTAAAAACAGGCATTTTCTACATTTTGCAAATATAAAGTTTTGTCATGATGTTGTATCAACTGGTATTTTTTTTCAAACCATACTTGCCTCCTAGAAATTTTGAGGCATTCTCCTCCTTGGGCCCTTGCCAGCCATACCTGACAACTGCTCCAGATGGGGCAACTTCCAAAAATAAATTTTCTAGACAGTCAATTTGCAAAACTAATCCAAGATTTTCATGGCTTTACTACAGGGGTGATACAATGAATAGGGTTTCCCCTATGTCAGCACTCCCAACCTTTTTGGCACCAGGGACTGGTTTCATGGAAGGCCACTTTCCACAGCTGGGAAGAGCTGGGGGACGTGAGAGGAGGCGAAGCTCTGGCAGTGATGCAAGCCATGGGGACCGGCTGCAAACACAGACGAGGCGTCGCTCACCAGCCCACAACCAGCTCCTGCTGTGTCGCTCTATTACTAGTAGGCCACAGACTGGTACTGGTCCGGGATTGAGGACCACAGCCCGAAGTACAATCTTACTATCTTCTATTATGACCTAAACCAGCCCTAATTACAGTCCGAATAAAACCTTAACCAGGCAGGCGTGATGGTGGCTCACGTCTATAATTCCAGCCTTTTGGGAGGGCCAGGCAGGATTGCTTGAAGCCAGGAGTGTGGGACCAGCCTGAGCAAGAGTAAGACCCTGTCTTCATAAAA